ATCATTACCACCATTCGAAGAAGCTTAGCGTTTTGTTCTGCAGCTGAGCGTCTTCCGCGTACACGTTTCTTGTGCACCGGAACCATGGCGAAATCAGCTTTGCGTTCCAATTTCAATCATTCTGAATCTTCTAGGTCGTCTCAGTCGTCTTTGAGATCTCGTACAAGCGTATTTAACACCTCAGTAACATTGTACGAGCTCGATGATGTTGATGAATCCAAGACAAACGAATCGACTCTGGATGGATTGGGTCGGTCCAGTGGATCGAGCAGCTCGAAGAAGTCGCGCACGCGGAGCTCAAATAATGAGGATTCGGGCTCGGTTTCTTCTCCCCGGCCTGCGAAACGCGTCAAACTCGAGGTGAAAGAAGAAGAAAGAGAGCTTTCATCATCGGGCTCAATACAGACTGTATCACCAGCGAAATCCAAATCCAAATCTCCCCGTAAACCAAGAATTTCGAAATCCGAACCTGCTTCTGTCTCTCCTCCTCCAAACTGGCGCCTCGTATATGACAAAATCGCTGAGATGCGTTACTCAGCTACTGGCTGTGCGAAAGACGCAGCTGTAGACACGATGGGGTGTCATTCGGCTGGTGAAGGAGAAGAGCAGCCTGGTCCAGAAGGTGAAAAGGTAATGTTCAGCTAACAGTACTGTATACTTGACCTAATATTCACTGCTTACTCAGAACAAACGGTTTTCAATCCTCATATCCCTCATGCTTTCTTCTCAAACCAAGGACGTTGTCACTCACACTGCCGTCAACAACTTGCGTCTCGCTCTCAAATCCCACTCCAAGGATGGCAGTGGTACACTTTCCGCCTCCGACCTAGCTTCCGCACCTCCCTCGCTCATTCTCTCCGCTATATCCAAAGTGGGATTCTACAATAGAAAAGCAGGATACATACAGCAGGTAGCAGTCAAGTGCAGGGACGACTATGGAGGTGATGTTCCGAAAACTCTCGAGGAGCTGCTTGAGTTTACCGGGGTAGGGAAAAAGATGGCGTATCTGATGTTGGGGAGCGCGTGGGGTCTGTGAGTACAATGTTTTTTTACTATGTTTTCCTTATCTGATATTCAGCTTTTAGGAATATTGGAATTGGCGTTGATGTGCATGTCCATCGAATCACGAATCGTTTGGGATGGCATAAGCCGACGACGAAGACTCCAGAAGAGACGAGGTATGTTTACTTAGTCGGAACGCGACGTCCGTCGTTTGTGGTTTATTTGGCTCTTATTTCCTTCCTACGTGCGTTTTGTATCATATCACTAATATGCGCTCCGTAGGTTATCTCTGGAATCGTGGCTTCCTCTTGAGCTTCACCCAAAGATAAACCACTTGTTGGTTGGATTCGGACAGGTATGTTTGCCCGCTGCGTCATCCAACTTCATCCATCTTCGCAATGCTTTCTTTCTAATGTTGAACCCACATTTCCCTTTACGCTAGACAGTCTGTACCGCCGTTAAGCCCAAGTGCACCGAATGCTCGCTCAGTGCTAACTGTAGTGTCGAGGGCATTGAGGGCGGGACACAAGTTCCGCTATGTCCAAGCGCGAATATCACTGGTACCAAGCCGAAGACGAAGGCAAAACAGATCATCAAAACAAAGGTCGAAGCAAAGGTGACCCGTATAATCAGGCGGAAGGTCCGGGAAACAGAGACCGAGACGGACGTGGTGGGTTTGAATGAGTTAGAATTGGGTGGTGACTCTGAGACTGTACAAAAGATGGACTCGGAGAAGTTCCAGTTAGGGGAAAGTGGCGATGGTGAACCAAGTATCAAGATCGAGCTGGAGGATGAAGAAGAGACATAACGTAGTAGGTATGATAATGAAAGCTCATCGAACTAGGATATCTTGTATATATTTCGGCTGGTAGCGAATCGGTCAGTATATATATGTCGTGATTCAAAAGTGGTTTTGGATGTGCTTCACCCAGATAATGCAACATAGGCCTAAAGTAGTCCCCTCAAAGAGGTTGACGAAAATAAGAAACCTCATTAATTTCTCATTTCCGACTAAGTACCTCTTAGACATCAGTAAATCGGGGGTTTGTCAACATTCAATGGTGAACTTGCCTGTTCTAATGTAACTAGACGCCATCAATGCAATATCAGTAAAATATTGCAGCTTGGATGTCAATTGATGGTGATTGATTACTTTAGCGTGTCAGGAGATGTGTGACGGTAGAATATTGCCATCCGTCACTTTTATTTCAGCGGATTGCCATCAAGTACATATATTTCAGTGCATAGCAAGCATTGATAATGCTTATACTGTACCTATCTATCTATCTATCTATCTACTCGTTTGAGCTCGATCAAGTGAATTCAAAATGCAAAACTCGAAGGCATGTTTTTCTTTTACTACGTATGTAAGTGGGTCAAATCCGAGGCCTCATCCAAACATAAGTATTGAAAAGGTGACAAAAAAGGATCCCGTGGTATGTAGGGACCTCGAGCAAGATGCCTAGCCGACCCATGAAGTCTATAAAATGCCCCGACATGATAATAAATAAGTAAGTACTGCGTGGTTCAGTATGCGCACTTGCCTTTGTTAGAATCATGATAAATCTGAGTCGTTTTTCCATGTACCATCGAAGAATTCGGATGGCGATATAATCTCGAGATCTAATCCATTTTCCCCAAGAGCACGCATACGCGACAAGGTTTCCTCGCCGAGGTATAATCCACCATAGTAAGTAACCTTTCTCAAGGGCACGACAGTTGGGATGATGCAGGTTTCTGTCGTGACTCGAGTACGTCCAGTAAGATCTGTGGATTGATATATATACCGCGAATGCGAAAATCAAGCTCTTCGAGGAGAGGAAGCAGAGTACTATCATGTTGATATTGTAAAACCCCGAGGATCCTGTTTCCGCTGAATTTGGTGGAAAAATCATCCGAAGGAGGTGATAGACAATTTCGTCAAAGATGATGGAATAATCCGAATTAAAGAGATAATGTCGGCCGATATTGAACTCGGACTCGAGAGTGCGAGGCTCCTAAGATTACAGCATGAACGCTGAAAGAAGTTGGAGAGGGCATCAACCAGATCCCGGTTAATCTTCGACGAATTGCCTACACCTAGGAGTTCTAGACTTTCAAGAGAAGGTGCAGAGATGTTGTCCAGAACTTGGCGTATACCATATATGTTGGTCTTGGGAAGGTTCAAGGTAAGCGACATCAATGATGCGACTCGCAAAGAACAATCCTGAAGATGCAGGCCACTTGTGAAGGAAATATCACCCAATACACATGAGACAAGGTTAGGCATTTCGGTGAGTAGAGCCAAAGATATTTGAGAGCTATGTTCCATCCCGTAACGAAAACGATGAATCTGTGTCCATGGGAGGAGGATACATTTAACCAGGTTTGGACGACAGGTTAAAAAGAGTTCCTCCAGCTGTGGAGCATACTCGAAGGCATCGATGGTTGCACAAGATTCCAAAGTTGAGTCGAGGACAAAGTGAAAAGTGCGGAGTGAAGAAAGAGCACCTCTGATTGGCGATAGAACATCACAGTCGTCCATCATCCTGGACTGTGTGTTTTACGAAAACATCTCTCCATCGTTCAGAACGAGCAGCGATATTAAGGAGTAAAGCATGGGATAAAGGACCATACTGCCAACCGTTGGGAATTTCCAAATGAACATTAACAGGAGTATACCGGCATCTTTCGAGTTGTCGGGTTAGGAAGAATGTCGATGCAAGACTGTCTTCCTTCCCCAGAATCAAAGAGACATGCGACCAAAGAGGGGATGACAAAAACGAAACTCTCCGCCACCGAGAGCATACCTAGCTAAGATTCCATAGTGCTTGGGTGATTCTTGAGTTCGCGACTGGAGCAGGAAGAGGCTGACTTGAGGAACCACACTGAGTAATAGTGGCCATCTCGAAAATGATCACCCATACATCGTCAGGGACCTTGCGGGCGACATGGAGGATAATTTTGCACGACTCTGAATCTGATTGGAGCGCTTTTTGGTGCTTCTTCAGTCGCTCAATGGCGGATTTGAGACCTTTAACTCTCTCGACAATGTCCGCAAGAGACGATTCCACTACTGACTGTCGTGATAAAAGGTCGGCTTTGATAGTGGGAAGAGGCTCATCGTTGGATTGCAGTAGATTTTTGATTTCTGAAATCGAGGAAAGTTCAGGATCAGGATCCGCGAGATCCATTCCGCAGCTAGGACAAGAACCCCGCTCAGGCATATTCTGAATCCATAAAATTGTCAGAATGTTCCTAGAAAGGTGAAGAAGATGGTCAAACCTTGGAATCAATGAATTTGGAGCAAAACAAGGGAGGCGCAGTTCTGGTGAAAGATTCAAAGATTCAGACTTGGATTCAGAGAACAAGAAAAATATGGGCGCTAGATTGGGGCTGGTTGGCCTAACGCCCATCGAAAACCTCTATGATTCTGATAGAGCCACTCTTTGCAGCTGTGCCTTGGTTGGACAAGCTTGGGTCCGCTCTACACAGCGTGACATCTTCCGGACAGTTGAACTGGATTTCCAGCTTCGAATAACACGGCGGGCCTCGATGCTTATTTGAAAACCGACGGAAAACTTGCTGCATCATTCGCTGGAAATCCACGTCTGGCTATGTATGTCCGAATACTATTTCTGTGGGGATTCGAGGAAGGAGACCAGGCTGAAAAAGACGAGGTGTTGCTTAACACTTCCGCCGTTGTTGTTCAGCATCTCTCCAATGTGAACAGACTGGTATGCCGTGAATTTGACTAGTAGTGGAACTTTCTCTCTCTCTATTTCTGAAGGCTGCGCTGGCTGATATGTTTATGGCCAACTCCCTCACTTATGTCACTCTTTCCATTTTACATTCCCCACATTCGCTGAACTCGTATCGCTATTGACAAAACACAGTGGGAAATACTCATAACTGACGATGGTGGACGGCTTCGATTTACCCGGTGACGATGCGTACTTCTTCTAAATTCTGTCGCTATGATCGAGCAATGAATTCAGGCTCATGTCTATGTCAGCAACTCCCTGGTAGTATATCGGTTAGTACACGCGCCTGTCATAAGAGAATATGAGTCTTTTCGCGCGAAAGCTGGGTTCGACTCCCAGCCAGGGAGCTAAGAGAAGAAGAGGAGGAATTTTTTTTTTTTGTTCTAACTAATCTTGATTGGTATCTACTCAGCTACATGAAAAGAGTAGGCAGGTAATTAGCACGACTCCAGTAGAAAGTTTATCCCACTGGAAAATATGTATAGCAACCCAAATAATAATGACAATACCCAAGTAAGTACATGTACAAGAACGAAGAAAAGGTTCCAGTCCGAACTACTTATTCAGCCTTTTCTTTCTCCCTCCCACCCTCCTCCCCCTGCACCTCGCCCCAAACCAATCTCTCAACTCGCTTCCTTTCCTCCTTCCCGTTCCTCAAGAAATACCACCACTTCCCTACCGGTACCTCTATCCACTCGATCACGTTCAATACCGGAACTAGTATTTTGCCTAGTGCGAGTTCAATCATTGGACGTATCGGTCCAATCCCACTCCCTCCCCGTGCATTCCCAGCACTCGTCCCAGACGTAGCCGTTGACGTCGACGGACCTTGTCCCCGTTCCGCCGAGCCTGCATCACCTCCCCCGCCCATATTAGTCCCGAGACTAATCCCCACAAACATCACCAACGGCACAAACGCCGGCATCCAAGCCATCCCCGTCCCCATCTGCACCATCACTACAACCGGAACCAACCCCATCGTCAGAGGTACACTCAAAAAGGCAAACATCGGGACTCGAGTTTGGTAAGCGGTGTAGGCAGAGGGTATTTGGATTTGGAGATGGCTTCGGTGTAGAGAGTTGAGGAAAAGAAGAGAATAGAGAGGAGCAGGGCGGGAAGAAGTGGGAGGAACGGTGTTAGGGAGGTGAGGGAGGTTGGGTTTGGGAAGTGAGTGAATGTGAATGTAGACTTGATGTTTTCTAATGCAGACATGATCATTTCCAAAAAGGAAGTGACCGCTCCATCCCCAAACATCACCAGTGGATACGCACGCGCACTGAACGGTATGAAACAAATAATCCACCAAAAGGTCTGCTCGCACGCGAAATTAGGATGACGGGAATAGGCCCAGAAACCTGAGGTGATAAAACCACGATGGGCTTCGGTGGGAGTCAAACGGAGATTGGTGAGGAGGGTACGGCCAGAGTCGCTAGCATTCGCTGTGGAAATGGACTGTGCTGGAGAAGGAGAAGCAAACGGCCAAGCAGCCTTGGACGCTACCTCTAATGCATGGGTATGAGCCGCAGAAGACGACGCGGCTTTTCGAAAGTGATCTAAATACGCATGTTTATACGTCTGATACACAAACTGTTGGTTATCCGCCGTAAACTCGATCAGTAGCACACCCAGTGCCCAAAGCTCGAGAAATGCGTCGCTGTAAAGCATCTGGGGTTTCTGCATCGATGCGAGGTAGGCCGGATAACCGAGAGTGAGTAAAAGGAGATTTTGTGTGGCAGCGATGAATGTGAGGTTTACAAGCTGGAATAAAAAGGGTGGAAGCTGCGCGCGCAGAACTGCCCAGCGGTAGTCTTCGTCTGAAAGACTGAAAAGACCTCGTCGGTATGTGTTGTACGACAGTCGGAACATCCATATCGTGACTAGGAATAGGAGAATTAATGCTCGAGGACTCCAAAATATATCCTGGGATTCAGATTGCAAGTCGGAAGGAACAAAGGGAAGTAATGGAATCGTTTGTTCAAGAGGCCATAAAGGCAAAAGGGCGAAATATGCAGTGTAAATCAAGGGAAGAAACGTCCAGACTCGGTCCACTTGCGAGACGTTCGAGGTCAAGACTGAGGCAATGTAGGTGACGACGGTGGAGAAGAGGCAGAATTGAAGTGGCCATGCGAAGGACGAGGTGGTCAATGCTGATATTATCGAGTCCATGATGAGAGTCGAGTTCAAGTTGCAGGAACGCGTCACGATCTGATGACGCGATCAAGCTGTCCAGGGACGATTCTATCATCGCAAGACATTATATCAGATATTTGCAGCTGCTCATACGTTTTCTCTCTACCTACGCTTACACCTACACCTCCTTTACCTGTACCCTTTGTGATCTTTCTTTGGGCTATTTAACGATAATAACTCCCCAGTGTTGCCCCAGTGTGAGCTGTTTTCTCGATTATCTCAAATACACACCCAACCTCCGCAGTTTACAGTTCTTCAATGTCATCTGGATTCCGGTGATGCAGTCCCTATTCTAAACCTTTCCTGGACCCATTCGGTTCGAATTAGGTTCCCTCTACGGCACTTTACCATTGTCATCCTGAAGAACGCTACTCAGTGGGCATGTCGCTTGATTGATGATGTACTGCTTGCAAAGCCAGAATTTGCTCTACTCAAAACGATGAACATTGAAGTGAGCGAGGATGTGCCCAAGGATGATTGATATCAGGCAGCAAATTTGTAAACAGATGGCATTCTTGGAGGGATCTAGGAAGCTGGTGGTACGAAAGCCAAAGTATTCGGATTCAGACTGGCTAAGCACTCGGTATGTCTAAAGGAAACAGAAGCAGAAGACTAATGACTGTTGTTTCCAGTTAAGATTTGTTGGCTTCTCCACACACAGGATGATTCCAGTCTCGGATCACAGTGCTTATATTATTCGCTGAAGAAACTTGATCTTCGGGTTGGGACTCGACGAATTGTAGTCTGGAGATTTGGCTAATGTTCAGTATTCTGATTCTCGTACACGTACAATACGTATCTTGAGTGATATGCTAGGAGGACCTGCCATCGCCTAAACAAACACGGCTTTTTCTCAATCTTTCTGTTCTCCGATATTGTTTCTCATCAGACCTCGTTCAAGATGTCTGAACTCTCCTACAACTCTGAAACAACATATATTCTAGGCATCCTCCCTTCTCCGAAAATTTTAATTGGAAAAAGTATCCAGCTATGGCACCATCCAGCTACTAAGCGGCGAGGTACAGTATGTAGCCATGATGACATTGTTCATTCTTTGACGACATGAGACCTCGGTCCATGAAGAATAGAGAGGGCAACGCGTGCAATTCAATGGCAGACGCTATGTTGCCCCCAGTGGTACTTTTTCCATCGGTACCGATGTCATTATTCACGCTCGCAAGAGCTCTGTAAGAGAAAGATTACTGATACTCTTGGTAAGACTAGCTGGAAGGCCGAGTACTTGTTCAAAACGATATAAAGGTCGAGGTTACAAAGTATAGACAGTATCTCCGACACTTTCAACCCAACGAACCAACGAACAACACTACAACACAATGTCTGCAGCACGAGCATCCACTCCCAACCTTTTCGCACCGATTAAAGTCGGTACCATGAACCTGAGCACACGAGTGGTTATGGCACCCCTGACACGACTCCGGACAAACAGTACCTTTGGACTGCTGAACGTGGTGAAAGAGTACTACTCTCAGCGCGCCAGCACCCCCGGAACATTCCTCATATCTGAGGGAACCATAATTGGAGCCAACGCAGCGGGTTTTCCAGGTGCTCCCGGTGTATGGACCGAGGAGCACATTGCTGCATGGAAAGAGGTAACGGAATCGCGGTTTTTCTAAAAAGTCTTGCATCCTAATGAGGTATACTTACGAACAGGTGGTTAAGGCCGTGCACGCCAAAGGCAGCTACATCTACCTTCAAATTGCAGCAATGGGCCGAGTTGCGGATCCCGCTGTTCTCAAAGCAATAGATCCCACTTATGAAGTGGTCAGTGCAGGAGACATCCCTATGGAGGGAGGCCAAGTCCCCAGACCAATGACTGTCGAGGAGATCCAGGCGTCGGTGAAGCTATTTGTTAAAGCTGCTGCCGACGCAGTGCACAAGGCGGGGTTTGACGGAGTTGAGCTTCACGGCGCAAACGGTTTCTTGATCGACCAGTTCCTCCAGGACATATCGAATAACCGCACAGACCAGTACGGAGGGAGCATAGAAAATCGGTCCAGGTATGCCCTCGAAGTTGTGGAAGCAGTCACCAAAGCAGTTGGTGAAAACAAGACTGCGATTCGTTTAAGCCCTTGGAGTCGCGGTCAATGTTGGTACTTTTGCTTTCTTAATGATAATGGTCGCTAATGGTTATATCTCAGCCATGGGTATGGAAGATCCTATTCCAACATACACCTACCTTTATTTCTCAGCTTCGAGAAAGGCATCCGAATCTCGCATATCTTCATATGATTCAATCGCGAGACCTGGATAATCCTAAACGAGTCCAACGAAGTCTTCTTTGACATGTGGTCACCGCGGCCATTGGTAGTCGCAGATGGCTATACACGGGAGAAAGCACTGAAGGCGGCGGAACGTGAAGGAGTGTTGGTCGCTTTCGGAAGGGACTTTATCTCCAACGTCAGTATTTTGAACAATAATTGAGCGCAACCTTTACTCACTCTGTCCTTGTGTTTTCAGCCAGACCTCCCTTTGAGATTACAAGGCAACCTACCGTTGTCTGCGTATGACCGACAAACTTTCTATGGTGGAGACGAGAGTGGGAAGGGTTATACCGACTATGCCTTCATAAATCAGTAGAGCTTTTTCTTCTCAATTTTGGATCTTTAGAACTTAGAATGTACGGCTTGAATTGAATAGGACAGGCTAGCAAATCTGTCGTTCCGGGGCGTAGTCTCAAATTTGGTTAAGTTGACCCTTGAAGAATCAGAGATTTTCGGTTCAATTTAGAGGGATTCATAGAGTGCGATTGGACTGGCGAATTGGAATGAGATGGACTGGGAACGAGGCCGCAGTGGAGTGAATATGCCAAAGAGTAGGAAGCAGAGAATTGACGCGCTTACTTTATGCTACTAAGTACTAAATCTGATTGTTTATTTATCCCTCCAATTCGCTGGCCAATGCCTCTTTTACGAGTGCCACATGTCCATCTGATCGAGGTCTGATTGTACATTCAAACGGAGCAGGAGCGCTGCATCCAAGGAAATAAGTAAGGAATAAGGAGGAATGAAGCGAACGCGCATACCTTAGCACACCTGAAACATACTTCACTCTGGGCTCGATGGGTTTTCCATCCTTAGCAATAGCGGGGGTAATATTGAACGAGTGAAGGAGAGATGCAATGTTTATCCAAAGTGAG